AAAGAAAATAAAAAAACCGGTGCAATAAAATCTATTTAAATATTCATATAGTAGATGCCCAAAAGCTTACTAAAATAAGATATCTATAAAGATAAATGGGCTTCTGTAAAAAAAAAATAATAATAATAAAGAAAAAGATAAATGGGCCTTGGATAATTATATATAGGGTATGTTCATGAAGGCAGTGCTACATCTAAGTCTAAATTTACGTTTATCAATGCTACCTTGATTGGTGTACAGAAATGTTATCAATATTCATGGATTTTATCTCAAAATCAATGCTCATTTGATTTGATTGGACTCTAACTAATACCATATCAACATTCATAGAGTTCAATTTTAAAATCAATTATCAGATAAGTATTCCATTTATATTATAAACTCTCAAATAATTTTATGTTTTCCATGGCAATAAAAGACATCCAACAATCATTGGGCCAAAGCCCATTTGATGATCATATGAACCCAAAAAATGGATGCCATTTTTGTTAGGCTGCAAATTTGAATATCTAACTCAAATGACAAATATAACTATATACTCTAATCAATTGACTGAAAAATTGAAGAAAACAAAAACTAATTGACTATTTATTTTATTTCTTTTTTTTATATATGAGAGAACAAATAGTCGATCTAAATTTGTGGCTAAAGACCGAGATAAGAGACTAGCTAGGACACGACACTATGATTATTACAATAAAGTATGACTAACACTTCTATATTTTGAACAAATAACTTTCAAATAAAAAAGAAATTTACAACAGGACTCATTATTGCTCCATAGATTTAGGATTTGTTGCAAACAATTCCATATTTGAAACAACTTCTAAATCAACAAAGAAACGAGTAGAGCTTAACCAGTTCTATTTATTTCAAAAATTGATAAATGACCAACCTGATCTATAGTTCATTTAGCAACATAACTTTTGTCTAACATTCCTCCATATAATGATTCCACAATAGGGATGAAAACTAATGACAAACTCTTATCCCTTAGTCGTAATTTGTGTGTTCTATAACAATCAAATCTTTTAAGGTTTCTACTTCTCAAATTTAGAGGGAAAAAAAGAATCCTTGGCCTTACAAACATATAATTTCTTACTTTTTGAAGATATTGGATTTTTTAAAATTGCAATCCAAAATTGGATTGGGCTGAAATTTACTAATTACATTACCCTATTACATATATATGTTAAGTTGGATTAACTACATAAGATTTGAAGACATCTTCGAACATTATTTTTCTAACAAATTTTCATTTGGGGAAGGAATATTTTTATAACCAGTGTTACTCCATACTTTTATATTAGTGCTTCAAATTTAAAACCCACCTAGATTTGTTTATAAGTTTACCTAAAAATCCACGAGACTTTGATCACCTCCTTAATATTTTGTCCTTTCTATTCTTTACGATGAGATACCAAAAACACTGCTGCCGTCTTTTTCAAATCTTGCCTTTCGAACTCGCAACCTCGTGCTTGATTTACTCTGCGGTCGAATCTCGCAGCCGAGTTGCCGGTGCCGGAAAGTGATGACGGCGACCACTGGTATTTTGAGGGAATTCTGCGAAGCAAATGTAAGAGAAAACGCCATTCCGTTGCCTCGTTATACTTGAGCTTCCACCATGAACGCCGCAAATGCATCAATTCTCCTCTGCTCTCCAAACCTTTCGGCAGATACTCAAAACCTGCATTGCCGAAAGAGACCTCCTCACTGGAAAGTCCCTCCATGCTATGTATATCAAGTCCTTCGTCCCCACTTCTACCTACCTCTCCAACCACTTCGTTCTTCTTTACTCCAAATGCCGCCGCCTCGCCGCTGCTCGCCGGGTCTTCGATCAGACCCAAGAATGCAATATATTTTCCTTCAATGCGCTGATATCCGCCTATGCTAAAGAATCGTGCGTTGAAGTTGCACACCAACTGTTCGATGAAATGCCCCAACCAGACTCTGTCTCGTATAACACGCTTATTGCTGCATATGCGCAACGTGGGGATATTGAGCCTGCTTTTCAGTTGTTTGTGGAGATGAGAGAGGCCTTTCTTGACATGGATGGCTTCACTCTTTCTGGTATCATTACCGCTTGTGGCGATGATATTGGTTTAATCAGGCAGTTGCACGCACTGACTGTAGTGGCTGGGTTTGATTCTTATGCGTCTATTCACAATGCGCTGATTACATATTACAGCAAAAATGGATTTTTGAATGAAGCCCAAGGGATTTTTTATGGAATGGGTGAAATTAAAGATGAGGTGTCGTGGAATTCGATGGTGGTGGCATATATGCAGCACCGCGAGGGCTCCAAGGCTCTAGATTTGTACCGGGAAATGGGTGTTAGGGGATTGGTGATTGACATGTTTACTCTGGCAAGTGTCTTGACGGCGTTTACAAATGTGCAGGACTTATTAGGCGGGCTTCAATTTCATGCCAAATTGATAAAGTCTGGGTACCATCAGAATTGTCATGTGGGCAGTGGTTTGATTGATTTGTATTCAAAATGTGGTGGTTGTATGTTGGATTGTAGAAAAGTCTTTGATGAAATTTGTAACCCAGACTTGGTCCTTTGGAATACAATGATTTCAGGATACTCACTGTATGAGGAGTTATCTGACAAAGCTCTGGAATGTTTTCGGCAGTTGCAATGTGTTGGCCACCGCCCCGATGATTGTAGCCTCGTTTGCGTAATCAGTGCGTGTTCGAATATGTCGTCGCCCTCTCAGGGAAGACAAGTACATGCATTAGCTTTCAAATTGGACATCCCTTCAAATAGAATATCAGTGAACAATGCTCTGATTGCAATGTACTCGAAATGTGGAAATCTCCAGGCTGCAAGAAGGGTGTTCGATACAATGCGCGTGCATAATACTGTATCGTTTAATTCAATGATTTCGAGCTATGCACAACATGGGTTGGGGTTTCAATCACTTCATCTTTTCCAAAGAATGCTGGAGATGAGCTTTACCCCTACAAACATAACGTTTATCTCTGTACTTGCCGCCTGTGCGCACACAGGAAGAGTTGAGGATGGTAAGCTCTATTTCAATATGATGAAGCAGAAGTTTGGCATTGAACCAGAAGCAGAACACTTCTCATGCCTGATAGATCTTTTGGGTCGAGCAGGCAAGTTGAGCGAGGCCGAGAGGCTGATAGAGACGCTCCCTTTTAACCCGGGTTCCATTTTTTGGTCTGCATTACTCGGGGCCTGTCGAACACATGGGAACATGAAGCTAGCAGTCAAAGCAGCAAACCAATTGCTTCAGCTGGAACCTTCAAATGCCGCCCCTTATGTCATGCTGGCAAATATCTATGCTGACAATGGAAGATGGGAGGACGTCGCGACCGTAAGAAAACTGATGCGAGATCGAGGAGTGAAGAAGAAACCCGGCTGTAGCTGGACTGAAGTAAACAGAAGAATACACGTCTTTGTGGCGGAAGATACTTCCCACCCGATGATAAAGAAGATTCACGAATACTTGGAGGAGATGATGAGAAAGATAAAGAAAGCTGGATATCGTCCAGGCATCAGGTCGGCGATGTCGGTGTCGGTAGGGGACGACGGAATAAGGCAAAGAGAGGAAGAAGAGTTAAGGTTAGGACATCATAGTGAGAAGTTAGCTGTTGCATTTGGTCTCATGTCTAGTAGAGAAGGTGAGCCAATACTGGTAGTTAAAAATCTAAGGATATGTATGGATTGTCACAATGCAATCAAGTATATCTCTGCGGTTGTGGAGAGGGAAATTACTGTTAGAGATTCCCACAGATTTCACTGCTTCAAGGGTGAGCAATGCTCTTGCGGAGATTATTGGTGAACTTTAATGGCATTGGCTACAGTTTCAGATTATTATTCTTCACCCAAACAGAGGTATTATCTAACAGGAAATGCCTTCGTTTGTGTTTTTATTTTGTTAAGAACATTTAAATTACACTTGGTAATTCACCATTTACTTATTCGAAAATTATACAATTTATAAATTAGTGTATTGATCTCTGAGAGGTCAAATGTCTAATTTTATCCTCTGTTACAAGATGTGGGAGATGGGTGGTCAACAACGCTAGGCAGGCGTCCATTTTGGGCATGTGACTTGGGCTATACGCTACGTGCTTGTTGGGCCCAATGGGTCGTCTTCTTAAAGTCCATATAAAATCTCCTAATCCATTCGTTGACTAGGTTTGGGTCTTGGACTATCCAAGGCCAAGGCCTATCATTGGACTCAAGGCCCAATGGTCCCATTGAGCTTAAGGATGCCACGTGCTCGAGTTTTTGTGGGCTTAACTTCTCTTCCAAGTTCCAACAATAAACCAGATCCACTAAATAGCCCTTCAAATTAAATCCCTTCCAACAATTAATATGAGTGTTTAAGACCCGTTTGGCATATGTCATAATTCAAATTTAGCGGATATCTATTTTGTGGATTTATTTTTAAAATGTATTTTAGGATTCTGTTCTCTAAATCTTGAAAATTCTAATATTTTTCTTTTAATGTTTTCAATGTTTTCATATTTAAATTTGAACTTTTAAAATAGAATTTTTTAAATAAATACTTTTACAATAGAATTATTTAGATAAAAACGTTGATAATTATATGATCGTATTATTTCTGTTAAAATTAAAACATGTATATATTGTAAACTGTATACTATTTTGAAATAGAAAATATACAAAAAATTTTAACATATGTATTAATAGATTACTTAATGATATTTTAGATTCAACTAATGTCTTATACAAGTTATGACCACCAATATTTGAAAATTGATTAATTAATTTTTGTTAGGGTGTGTTTCGGCGTAAGGGTAGAATGAGTGGATTTGAAAAAAAAAATTAAGTATAATTGATTTTTCAAAATCATCATCTAAGTGATACCTTAAAAATCAATTTAAAGTGATTTTAAGCTCTACTAAAATTAAATTTCTAATTTTATCAAACATGATAAATGGGGAGGAAATGATTTTGACAATGGCAATGACGTGATTTTGACATGACAAAATTACTTCCAAACACACCCTTAAACGAAATTAGAATACTCTAATTGCTATTGTTTTGCCTTTATAACTATTTCTTGCTCCTAAAGTTCCAATATTCCTCTTATAACCAAAATTCTCTGTTTACTTGGGGATTGTAGTCTAGTTTTGAAATATGAAGTTGAATATGAGTTCTATCTTTACCAATCGAATGGAAATTAAGCAGCTATTCAATAAATAACTCTACCTTGTCAACTCATAAACCATTTCAAGGACAAAGTTTGTGTTAATCTTGACTTTGAATATTATTGCATACCAATACCACTCAATAGAGTAAGTCAAATCAAACTTGAAGTCTGCAACTAATGGACTCCATACCAAGCTTGACTTGAAGGTCATCTTATTCTGATCAATAGAAGTTTAAACTCTGCCCATCTGACTCAAAAGCCTTCTAAAAGCCAAGTCAATTTTGAGATTAATTTTTGTCTTTTTTTTAGTATAACGTTTGGGGATTCGATCTCATGATCCTTTGGTCAGAGATAGGTATCTTAACTACTTGAGATTAATTTTTGTTTCAACCATAATTTTCCCAACAACTTCACTTGAAATGTAAATAATAGTACTAACGACGGGAAGGTAAAGTTAATTGGTATTTATGATTTTGATTTAGTTTCAATTTGGTTCCTATAATTTGGTTAAATCTCATAAATCATCGGTCACTCAATAATCTATCATTATTTGTTACATATTTTTTACTTACTCCTAAACCCTAATACAATTAATTTACATAATTAACCTAGAGAATACGAACTCATGCTCATCTCAATTAAAATTGTCTTATTTTTCAGAAAATGAAAAAAAATAAAAATTGAATAAGGTAATGACTTATCATGGCATAAACAATTTATGAGGTGTTACCCAAGTACATAAAAGAGGTAAATCTAATTTAAAACCAAATCATAAGAACCAATTAAAAGTTTTTAATTAGATCATAGCAAGAGATTAAATTGAAGCTCAAACTAAAAGAATAATTAAGTTCATTATCTAATCCAATCTAATAAAGACCGTATTAAAAGGTAAACTTAAATTTTTGAAAAAGAAATAAATATGGAACTTGGACATCAAAAAGAGAGACAATCACATAATTGATATTTATTTGAAAAGTTGATGTAATTTTGGAGAAAAAGTAAGAAATTATTAGTAGAACCAGTAGTTTCCAAAGATTGTCCACCGCTTGAAGCAATCCAATAATTCAACTGTAACAAAAAGTTCACCAACATTACTAATTAAAGATGTACCCAAGGAATAATCAAGCTCACTTATTTGGGACCTAAGTCGGACAAATAATTGAAAAACAAGAGAATTATTATCGTTATTAATTAATTAAACCAAAAACAACGTGTGCAACTTGACAGGCCGACAAAAGTAGCTGATACGAGACAAGTGTCCTCTACTTTCCGCTAAAAATAATTAAAATAATTTCCATACATACGTAGAAAAAAAGAAAAAGAAAAAACCTCTTCCAAGTTTCAATAATCAAAGTTCCATAATTTTATAATTATTAAACTATTATAAAGTGTTAAATAAAGAAAAGAACATCATGATCCGATCGCTTTCTGTAATTGAAATTTGTCTCATTATCAATCACCCAAAAGCTAATGGGTGACTCTCTTTTCTCAATTATTTTTCTTATAAAGATTGGCCGAATCACAAGCCTTTCACACTCTTTAATTATCTATACCCATCAAAGAAATAACAAGTCAAGTTTCAACTTGAAAAAAAAAGAAAGAAAGAAAAATATTAGAAAATAAAGGTATTTGATACTTGTCTTTAATCCAAATGATGATTGTGGAAAAAATTTGGAGAGGATGGTGAGAGAATCGAAAAGGGCCCATGGTAGTTTCCGGGAAAGTGCCAACTTTTCCCGGAAAGTTTCTCTCATCATTTTTACAGGTCCACAGGGTTATGAATGATGCGTAGACTTTGCTATTTTTTTTTTCCTTTAAAGGAGACTCTTCTCAAATTGTTAATCATGCACTGTCCACAATAATGATGATAGCGTGCCTATAACGTATGCAATACGAGTAACTTTTGGTGGGGACAAGGATGAATCGCCAAAAATAAAAAGAAGAGAATAATTCCTCCTTTTAATTTGTCTTAAATTCAAAAAAGAAAATTATATATATAACTCTCAAGCAAAAAAGAGCACGACCATACACATCACTTTGAATATGATATAAAATAATTGGGACTAGACGAGAAACACCTCAGAGATCCTAGAATTAGGACAAATTCAATTGGAAATTGTAAATAAATCTCTAGAGCGGAATAAAGTGGCAAGCAGTGATGATTCAAATCTATGTTTACATAGATTGGTTGCGGCCTTGCCAGAAACCATGAAAAATCTTATGCAGCAATGTTTGAGGGTCGGAGAATCTTAGGACATTCAATCGAACACCTAACTCCCAATATTGTTTTCATCATGAAATCTTAAGTGTCCGTTTGGTAACGTTTCCGTTTTCTATTTCTCGTTTCCAAATTTCTTAAAAAAACTAAGCATTTTGCAATTAATTATATGTTTCTTGTTTCTTCTTTTCTGGGAACATTCTCAAAATTGTATAGAAATTTTGAAAACAACCATAGCAAGTTTTTTCTTTCTTTTTCCCATTTTCAATTTATTCCAAAACATAAATAAGAAAATTGTGTAGGGATTTATAGATGTTGGGGCCATTAGAGAAGGGTTGCGTCTAGCCAATCGAATTAATTTGAATGAGTCCAAGTAAAAATCAGATCCTCATGAGACGATTAATAGAGTCCATGGTGATAGAGAAATGCAAAATGCAGCCACCACTTGGTTGAGAGAGATAATAATGGTGAAATTGCCAGATCATTCATATCTATTTCATTTTTGTATGTTTGCAGGGATTCAATGGGGGAGTCACTCAAATTGGCCTCTCCCATGCTTTTTCTCTCTAATTTTCCTTTTGGCTTGTAAAAAAAGAAATCAAAATTTCCAATCTTTTGCAGCCCATGAGGCAGCTTTTTAGTTAAAAAAAGAAGGAAAAAAATGATAAAACAAACTCAAAGAAGAAGTGGTCCCTAGTATCAATCTGATCTAGAATAAATTGGAGTAGAATTATACTTTGCTTTTGCTCTAATTTGTTATGGTAAAAATGTTTGTATCGGCATTATGATGTGGGCCACGATTAATTAATGAGAGCCGTGGATTTGAAAATTAGACGTGTTCCATTATTGTTGAAGTGGGGAATATTTATCAAATCTATAGCTTTGAGAATTTCAATGGGTACATATCCAAGGGGAGGGAGGGGGTCTGACTTATGAAAAGTAAAAATTAAAATAAAATAAATAATAATAATAATAATAATAATGGAAGGATTTAGACTTGGAAAAATGTGGGCCATAGGGGAGCCCTCACGTGGGTTGTGACCTACCTGTCCACTTAAAGGTTTGGCATCTCACGTGGTTGTGACCTTCTCAAACCTCTCTAATTTCGATATTATTTTATTTTCCATCCATCCCTTTCCTTTTTTCTTTTTCCCTATTTATTCTAATTATGCTTGTGAAATTAATATCAAAGGTATAATTGTATTCAATCAACTTATTTCTTTCTACAACTAATCAAATTAGTTTATTGGTAATATTATTTTGCTTAAATGTTATATCGTAAATAAAAGAGAGAAAAAGTTCAATACAACTCGGGGTAGAAGATAAGAACATCTAACTATATTTAAGTTGTGTTGATATATAGCCATGGTTAATAGTGTTTTCTTCACTAATAAGAAAAAAAAAATTATCTTAAAGTTAAACCTATTTAAGTATTCTATTTATTTGTCAATTATTTTTCCCGAGACATGTCCATTAACAAAATTTTTAAAGCTCCTTTGTTAAAAGGAATGCTGATTAATTGGCTTTGTTACTTTTCTTTAAAAATTCTTTTTAAAGAATTTTCAACGCGCACTTTGTAAACTCAATCGCCATAAAGATTTGAAATGGTTGATTCTAGTTAACATAAAAGTGATTTGTGTATTTCAAAAGTAAAGTTAAACTCACTCTAAAAAGTGCCATCTTCTTTAGAGTTGAATATTTTATCTAAAGATAATCCTTATCTACCTTCTAAATAAAACAGTGTAAAGGTGTTTTTTTTGGTTCCAATCGAACTCGAACCAAAATATCCTTTTAAGAAACAAAATGAGTGAGAATGACGACATTATAATCAAAGAAAGTAAAGTTTATTCCATGATATTAAAAACTAAAGGGAGATAGATAAATTAAAAATTGTATTGACCAATGAGGGCAAAACGCACTACAAAATAGCAAAAGTCATATCAATGTCATCCCTTGCGTAACACGTAGGCAGCCAATGGGCTTGATAGAAAGCCTTACACCAACACCACCCAATAATTTTCCAATCCAACACACCATCCACATTGCGTCACATCAAAAAATTTACACCCCAAAAATTCCATAAAACCAAATTTCTTCTCTACAAATCTCATCATCATCATACTCTCTTAAAATAATATACGTACCCATCAATTTCTTCATTTCTAGATAGAATTTTAAACCTTTACACATATCTCATCATCCCCAAAAAAAAAGAACTGATAATTTGATCTTCAGTGATCAATAGAAATTTTCTACATGTTAATTACACTAAATTTCTCTAATTTCTACTCTACCTACGGCCTTTTGAAGAAGAAGAAAAAAAAAACTATATATTCTTGTAGTTTTTATGTGGGTGTATTTGTCTAGCTTGTATTGGCCTAGACTATTAATCTAACAAGCCGCGGAAGGATTAGAGAAGGGGTTGTAAAAGTGAGGCTTGGGAGCCATAGAAAATTTGGCTTTGGAAGCCCCGTCGCGAGCGCCACCGACCCTTTCGCACGACGGGCACATCGTCAACGTCGCCGCGGGCATGTGCATGTAAAGAGGCTGGGCGAGCTTTAGCGCCTTGAGTTCTTGAAGCTCCTTTTGCAGTCTTCTATTTTCATCCGTCAGTGTCTCGCAGCACTTCTTCAAGAATTCACAATCTACTTCCGTTTGTTTCAATTTCGTTCTAAAAAGAAATCAAGACCAATTTTAGAATAACATCTTGCTTTGATACCATATCAAATTATCTATTTATTTTTTACTCACCGGGCTCTCCTGTTTTGAAACCATACTTCGACTTGTCGTGGCCGCAGATTTAGCTGTCTGGCCAAGGCTTGTTTTTGTTTCTACATTAAACAGTACAAAGTAATCGATTAGAATTTCTAAAATCATATGAATAAAAGGTTGGAATTTGCGAGAGAGCTGAGAGAGAGAGTTACAGGGTTGAGAGTGCTGTTTTGTTTGAAGCTTTCTTCCAAGAGAGCGGATTGTTCTCTAGAGAGCCTAAGTTTCTTCCTAGTATTGGAACCATCTTCATCTTCATCGCTGATTCTCGATGAAACTCTCTCCAAGTCAACTTCTTCACTGCTAAGATCCCTCTCCCTCTTGACCCTACGGCCGCCGCCGCCGCCGGAGAAGGAAGAAACAGCGCTGCTATGAGGGGAAGCTTGGCGATACAAATGATGATCGTCAATCTTCCGGTAAGCACTCTCGCCGGAGAACCCCAAAGTCAAACATGGGTCAAAATCAAGGGAGCTGGAGCAAGGTGCTGGCTTTTTGATGAGGTTGTGTTGATCAGGCGCTGGCTTGGGAGAGGCCTCGGAGAGCCCCAACCCCAAGACCAAGCCGGTGGGAGAAAGATCATCAAAACCCATATGGGGCGAGAGGAAAATTGTGGATGGGGAGTGGAAAAAGAGGAACTTGTGAAGAATATGAAAACCAAAATGAGGGGTTTAAGAAGAGAAGAAGAGAGAGAGATATGGGTGTGGGTGTGGGTGTGGGTGGGTGGGTATAAGAAAAGAATTGAGAAGACAATCGAATCTTAGCATTGGAAAAAAAGAAATTATCAAATTAAAGTCCCCTCCATCTCTATACATAGGTTGACCTTCTAACCCCACTTACCCTTTTTTTTTCTTTAATTTATTTTTATATCAGTTTGTCCGGACCAATTTGTAAACATCTCGACTAATTACTAATTATGAAGAAATTCGTAGGATATTAAATCTTAGGTAAGTGGTGATCACCGTGATCTGAATTCATTTCTTCTAAAACTTTTGTTATTTACCTTGACTCTTATTGACCACGGGATCAGAAACCCACTTTCCTAATTTCCTATTATCTCATATTATTGAGAAGAGAAATCCACCTAACAAAAGAAAATCCCCACAACTTTCCCTTTCCTTCCAGAATCCCATAGTTCACATGGGAGTGGGGAACACATCAAGAAAAAGGATCATTCTTTCTCTCTCTCTAGTGTGCAACATTTAACTATTACTACCACTTTTGAGTGTTGCTTCATAAATGTTTCCTCGTCTTGTTATTCAGTTTCTGTTTAAAATGGGTTCAATTATTTGCCCCAACTTTTCCTCTTCTTTCACTTATGTCCCAATATTAGCATATCCCACTCATTATTTTTTTGGTTTCTTTCCACCAAATCATACCCCCTCTTAATTCATTTATAATTATGGTATATATACACAAAGCCACCTTGTACTTTATTACTTTTCTCAATCATTCAAAGATTGCTTTAAACTTCCCCCCTCCCCAAACAAAAGAAAGGGAAAATACATGAGAGAAGGCAATTATTGGATATGCATGAAATAATAAGGCTTTGATTGTTCTTCCCATAAATGACCACATGAATTGTCTCCCACTCCATGCCCCTTCTTGCACCCCATCATCGTGCAAACCATTTCCCTTTGCTTGCCAATATTGCACTCTTTCCTTAACTATTAATTAATGAACAAGGGGAGGGCCGGAGATTATTGATCCTTGGATCTCTACCCATAGCGGTTGGAAATACGATTATAGTCCATTTTTGTAGCAGTCATTTTGGATAGAATTTCCTACCAGAAAAAACATGTGTAGAACAATATTGTACTACTGTAAAATAAGAAGACACATCTTATTAATGATTAGCGATATTGCGTGTTTTGAATTAAATTGATTTGATGTCCAAGTTGTGATTTAATTTTCTCGTACGAGCATAACAATTTTTTACTTATATTTTTATTAATATAATTAGAATATTGTGTGGTTGTATATCGATATGAAGTAAGAATTTAATGAAATACTAGTTATTTTATGATGGATAATACTTCCTTACTCATTAGACATTACAAGTCTTCTATTACCCACCACTAAATTTTATATATATATGTAAAAAGTTTAGTAATAGGCAGCAAGATTTCGTATTACCTAGTCAGTAAGTATTATTTTTTTAGTTTTGTTTTACGAACAATAGCTAATGAAAAAGATGTGCACTACTACATGATGAATAGTGGTGCTTGGTATTGCTCGTTTCTTGTTTGTTTGGTGGAAAATCGAAAAGAAAGAGAGAAAGCAAAGGGGAAAAAAAGTAGGTAGATAAAAAGATGAGATGACACAGAGCACACGAGAGATTTAATTCAAAAGAAAAATAATTGGCAATAGATATAGGAGAAGTTTGCTTCACTAGAAATTTTGGGTTGGGGGGCCACTGGCCAGCCATTGGAAGTACTAGGTGTTTAAAATGCATCAAAAATAGGCAACTTTGAGTAATGCTTTGTCGGCTACAAATAATGATGATTATAACTGATGAGAAGTTAGGTCACCCATAAAAACATGGCGGCCATAAAATATTAAAACCCTAACATCATCATCTTCCATTTGCTTTCAATGCCTTAACATATATATATATATATATATATATTATCATTTCTTATTTTGTATATATGTGGTTCCAAGTTTTATGGCTTGGATCACCCCAATCAATGTATATACTAGTTCGGATTTTGAATGACTGATGTGATCATCTTCAAATGTTGGTGAAATTGTAGCAGTTTAAATCTTATTTTAGTTTCTAAACTTTGAGGTTTATTCTATTTTTCGTGACTGAACTTTCAACTAATTTGTTTTAAAAGATTATTAAGTTTTGTCGTTTAAAGTTTTTATAAAAATGATTTAATAAAATCTACCCTAGACTACTCTACTTAAAATTATGTGATTACAATAGATAAGTAATTAAAATTATACATAGTAGAATTTTTAAAATCTTTTGAATCTTTTGTTAAATAATTAATGAAAAATCAATATCAATATCTAAAATAATTTTTGACATAAAATTTAGGGATTAAAATAGATAATTTTGAGGTTGGGGTGGGTTAAAGTAGAATATTTTAAAAGTTGAGCCTGTTTAGGTACCAAAAGAAATATGTAAGAAAGTTTAGTGTCAAAAATAAGATTTATACCAATGTAACATCTGCATCCTTTTATATATCAGTTTAGATTAAAGTATATATTTATTTATAATGAGGAATATTAGTTGACCCAATTATTATTGATATATAACTTGATGATCTCTCTCAAAGGGTGTTTCGAGATATCTTTATTGAAATTTATATCAATAATTTAACAAAAAAGTGATTACTAATAACAAATTTTGTTATTTGGTTTTGATATTTAAAAATATTATCGTCTTATTGAAATGTATTTTAAATGGTTGAGAGATTAGATGTCTCGTTATGTTACGATAATATATACACTTTCTCGTCCATTGTACTTATCAAATTTAATTTTATAACAATACATCAAAAGGAACAAAAACAGTCTGGTTATATAATATTGAGAGAAAAAAAAAGAGGGAAAATTTTAAATCTTGTTGGCAATGAGTGGCAGAAAGAAAACAAAAGGCAAGTATACAGGTGCCAACGTTTCTGGACAAAATTAAAAAGATAATAATAATAATAACAAGATGACAATTAAAATATAAATTAATCCTTCTTTCCCAAACCCTTCACTTTAGACCGCTAAATTATGATTGATGATTGAAAAGGAAAATTACAAAAAGAAAAAGAAAAAAGGATTCATTAACATTTAATCTCATTATTACCTTAATCAATCTGGTCCAAAATCTCATCAATAGATAATTTAATCTATAGGTTTGAATCACTTCTTACTTCTAAATTTTAATGTTTATTTCATCTTGATTAAAAAACTTTTTAGTTTTTATATTAAAAAAAAAAAAACATGATCGTCATTAATTTTATTTATAAAATATTTAATATAATAAATATTTTTTGTTATTTTTTCTTTTGTCGAGCAACATGTGGAGGGAATGTTTGAATCAGAAACCTTTTATGGAAAATAAATATCTTAATCAGTTGGGTTATGTTAAGATTGTTATCTTTTTCTCCTTTACTTGATTAGTAAAAGTTGATGCAAAAGTTGATGCAGTGGGCAAATTTTTGAAGTGACATGTGATACATTTCAAGATTTATTTAGAATTTTTTGTTAGATTATTAATGCAAAATTAATGATGCCGTCTAAAATAGTTCTTTATACAAAAAAAAAAAATTAATTGGGGATTAAAAAATTGAAAGGTTAAGTCACAAATGTAGTCATTCAATTTCTGTGATGGTGTCTTTTTTTTAGCTCAAGATGTGAAGATGCGTGTGAGGATATCGTGTGAGGATTCAAACGATATACGTATTGACTATCAAATGAGCTATGCTCAGATTAGTTATGATTGCAATCTATTTAATCTCATTGTTAACACTATTAACTAAATGATAACATGATACCAATCTATCTAATCAACATTGGTTGATTTGGCATGACATAATCGAAAAACTGTACAAGGGGAGTGGATAACTAGGCAAATAAGGAAATACAATTTATAAAGGAAATTTAATAGGTAGCTTCAAAAGTAAGGCATGTTACACATGGTCTATTTTCTTGGACCATTTGTTTATCATGCATACCAAATTCATCCATATTTATCAAATAAGCATTCGTTAGCATTAGTATAATAATTTCATAATTAAATTCTCGTTACATTTATTTTGTGGAAATTGTTGGATTTGTAAATGAAATGCAAACAAAGTCTCACATTAGTTAGGGAAGAGAGTGATCATGAGTATATAAGAGATGACAATTATCTTCATTGGTATGAATGCGACATTTTGGATGAAACAAAAACAAAGTCATGAGGACTATGCCCAAAGCGAACAATATCATACATTATGGAGATACTCGGGATACTCGGGATACTTGAGGTATCGTTATCCTTAACAAGTGGTATCACAACCATGATCTACAAAGTCCCATATTTATTAGGGAAGGGAGTGATCATGAGTATATAAGAGAGAAAAATTGAGAGAAAAATTATCTCCATTGGTATGTGGAGATACTTGGGGTAGTATTGTCCTTAACAACATTTCACATCATTATTTAGTAGAAGATGTTAATGGTATAAATATTATAAAATCACAATTTAGAGTACAAAAATGATGTAGTTGAAATTTTTTAAAGTTGCAAAAACTAAATTGACTTAGCTATCAAAACTTATAAATTAAATCCATAGTTGAATCAATTTAAAAATGTAAATAACCAATTCTATGATTGCAGGGTTGGAATCCGTTCGACTATGTTTGAATTAATTGTTGATGTCAATTTTTAGCAAGCACCATGTAGGTGCCATGGAGGCGCTATGTCTGTCTTTGTCTTCAAAATCTTGGTTGTTTTTACTTAGAAACTAACATCAATATAGTACTATGCCGAATGCACTCCGATGTTTAARTTAGAACTTAAGTTGAGAGTTGTTGATGCAGAAATTCGGCCTCTTGGGATTCTACCAAATTCGCACCAATCTTCTAGAATAAAATGGATCGACGAGACCTGCAAAACATAATAACACTAAATACTGGTGTGGCTCTTACCACAAAGGCTCAAATGCTTAAGTCAAAATCAGAGTAGTTGAGTATAAGTAAGGTGTAGGGTGTTGTGAGCATAACTTAGGATTTGGCTTATCCTGAGAAGTTGAATCCC